CTTTGAAGACATGGACTGCGCCAATTACCTGCGGAGCCCTGGGCGCCTGACCAAGCCTGGCTGAGAGCAGGTGCTCGTGAACAGCCATGGAATGAATGAATTGCCTCCTGACTCGGTTATCCACGGAGCAGACAACCACCATTCTACTTTTTGTCTCTGAGACTCTGACTAGTATATTTGACCGTTCCTCGTAGAAGTGGAACCATACAGCATTTGTGTGTCTGACTCACTTCACTTAGCATAACATCTTCAGGGGTCACCCATGTTACAGCATGTGTGAGAATTTCATTCCTGGCAACACTAACCCAAATTCTTCTACACTTTGGCAGCCCTTGAGGATAAAGCCTAGAGTCGTAGCATGACAACCAAGCTCCTTCCCAAACTGCCCCTGGCCACATTCACAGCCCCATTTTCAGTACAAATACTATAATAATAACTATAGGAATAATAGCTTATGTTCCATCCACTGGACAACCTGCCAATGCCAGGGCCACTGTGCAGTTCCCTGCCTCTTTTTTCTCTCTGGAATTTCCGTAATCCATCCTCCAAGCCTCTCATCCTTGTCAATCTTCAGCTTTGAAAAGGCAATGCAATCCCTCCTTCTGCCCCACTGGTTCTCAGCTGCGGAGATCTTGCCCCCTAGCTGTTATTTGGCAATGTCAGCTGCTGAGGCCAGAATTCTTTCTCGGACTGAGTGACCCTGGGTTCCTAACCAAGACTGAGCCTTGGTTTTGGCCTTGAGAGATCTTACTCAACTGTTAGCCCATGGATTGATCTGCGGTAAGACATTGGTCTTCTCTGAGCCAGTTTCCTCCTTAGCCAAACAGATACTCCTCCTGTTGTAGGATTACAGTAAGAAGCACATCAGATAAAGATAAAGAAAGTGATCTGAAAGAAGCTAAGGGATGGGTAGATACAAAAAGACAAAGGTGCATGTCAGAGGTCCTATCTCGGCTGTAGCAGGGTGGGCGACCTGCCCAGGCAGCAGACCGACTATCAATGACAGGTCATGTATGTATGACCACACTGTAATGTCTGGGTCATTCCTGCTCTAGCTCAGTGATCAATAACACAGCAGACATTGGCTCAAAGTAAGTAAGAGACTTACATAGAGGAGGACAGAATGTTTTCACAGTGCGTGGGGCCAGGCCTGGGAAAGGGTGCTGGGGAGATGACTTCAGATGTCTGGTTTCCAATGACTCTTATCGACTCAGCAACCAGCTACATCCAGATTCCCAGGACAGCAAGCAGTTTGATAAGAGGAGCTGACAACCTCATGAGTCTGTCAATATTTGAAGAGGGGAGGAGTTCATAAAGCCAGAAGATTAAGAGGCAACCAAGTCATGGGACAGGAGAGTGAGCAGTTTCTCTCACAGGGAGAAACTGCACTTTTGGTGAAGTCCCTGCCCTGTCACCACTAGTTAGTCAATTCTTCCGCCAAGAAGTCTGCACTTTTGAAGACTTGCTTCTACCTCCACCCAAGGCCCTTGGTTTGGTGCTCTGTGGTTGCCGTCTTGAAAATCTTAGGGTTTGGGGTGCCACCCTCCGTGCAGTTGAAAATCCTAGTATAATTTTGACTCACCAGAAACATAAGTCCTAAGAGTCCACTGTTGACCAGAACCCTTACTGATAATGTAAATAGTCAATTGACCAATATTTTATATGTTATATGTATTATATCCCATATTCTTACAATGAAGTAAGCTAGAGAAAAGAAAGTGCTTTAAGAAAATTACAAGGAGAGAAAGTATATTTGCTGTTCATTAAGTGAAAGTGGATCATCATAAAGGTCTTTGTGCTTATTGTCTTCACATTGAGTCAGCTGGCAGGGAGGAGGAAGAGGAGGAGTTGGTCCTGCTATCTCTGGGGTGGCAGAAGCACAAGAAAGTCCACGTATAAGTGGACCTGTGCAGTTCAAACCCGTGTCGTTCTAGGGCCAACTGTAGTGTTAGCTTTGAACTTGTGTAAGTAAAATCTGATGGGATGATGAAACATGCGTATAACATACATGTCATATGCATATCCACTGTTTTTTGCTGCCCGTTCACATATAGCATCCACGATGACCACACGTACATGCAATACACTGTTCCTTGCTGCCTGTTCACATATAGCATCCGTGATGACCACACATATGTACAATACGTGTGTCCACTGTTCCTTGCTGCCCATTCACATATAGCATCCATGATGACTACACATGCGTGCAATACACATGTCCACTGTTCCTTGCTGCCTATTCACATATACATCCATGATGACCACACATATGTACAATACGTGTGTCCACTGTTCCTTGCTGCCTATTCACATATACATCCATGATGACCACACATATGTACAATACGTGTGTCCACTGTTCCTTGTTGCCCGTTCACATTTGGCATCCATGATGACCACACATACGTGCAATACACATGTCCACTGTTCCTTGCTGCCCGCTCACATATAGCATCCATGATGACCACAGCAGAGGATCCCAGTGGACTCATGACGCGTGGTGCTGAGCGAGCCTCAGAGAGGGTAGACGATAAACGTGTTACGTCTGCCACTGAGCATGTGGGGACCCTGACAGCCCTGAGAGGACATGCTTCCCACACAAATCAGAAATTGTCTTCAACACCGAGAACAGGCAATACAGTCTAGGAAACACGAACAACAGAAGAACCCTGTCCCGTCCCTTCTTACTCACGTCACCTCCCTGCACCGGCCGACCCCTTGTGCTGAAAACGACAACAGAACAAGAAAGGGAAAGTGAGGGCAACCCGCAGTTTTTCCTTCCACCCTTCCTTCCTCACCAATCAACTCAAGGTAGAAAGTGTGGGTAGAATGTGGGAGCGCCGAGAAGTGAAGCAAAAAACAGTCGGGCTAGTTTTGCGCAGCATCCGCACTGCTTTAGTACTATGCACTCCCGTCCGAGCTGCCAAATGCGGCGTGTGTGAGCCGGTGATTCTCACTCCGGCCACCGCGTTTCGAACCAGCGCTGCACGACATGGAGGACGAATGTAACATTCACGATAATCATTTAAATTCTTAATTCTTCTTTATTTTGAATGACTTTGAGGAACAAATAAAATACTTGGCAAGTAGAGAGGGAGAGACTGTGAAATAAACAAACAAACAAAAAAACCTTGATGCTTTAGTACCTTTGGCAGAACCTTCCCTGCTTTTAGAACAAGGGGCTCATCGTTTTTGTTTTGCGCTGGATCCTGCAAATTCTGCAGCCGCCTTCCCCCCGCTACTACCGACTACACCAGTTAACACCTGAGGATTGTCTACCATTCTCCAGACAGGCTGCTTAGTGCCCTACCCGAATGATTTTTTTTTTCAATCACCTAAGTCACTCATGTCCCTAAACCTCACTTTCTTCTATAAATTAGGTGCAAAAAATCCTAATTCCAGTGTGAACATAAATGAGATGGATGGATGGACGCAAAAGGCTTTGCGAAGGATAAAAAGCCATCCTAACGGCAGTTATTATGATGTGAAATTTAAGAATGGAACAAGTCGGGTCAGCCAGGAGTTGCAGGGTCCCTGCTCTGCGGTTGGGAAACCATTTCGTGGTGTGCTGGGAGATGGGGGTACAAAAATAGACGCAAAATAAGCACAAAGGAGCTCGCAGCTAAGGGGACTCATAGAGACTTAGGTAGGCGCTTGCTCACAACCACACAGCTCGTCCCTAAGAATCAAGATCTCGGCCCTCGGGCATCCGAACCCAGGGCCACAGCCCAGCCCTCGGGCCCCCAGGCCCGGCTGCCTCTGCAGCTCATGTTGGAACCGTGTGTGTGTGCACGGCAGCTGCTTAATAATCGGGTTTATTATATTCCAGATTTAAATGTATAGCTCTGAGCAGAATCGAGTTCACGGCCCTAATTATGGTGCGTCTGATTGTGGCATTCAGCATTTATTTAAATAGTAATTTGTTCCTTAAATGTTGATTACTGAGAGAGGCCTTCTCCAGCTCTCTCTCTCTCTCTCTCTCTCAGCTGCCTAGCTTTTCTTTCATAATGAGGATCTCGCTCTGTGATTCCATGTTTATATTTATAGGACTCTGTATTCAATGACAACGACCCAAGGAGGGAGGAAACCCTGCCTCTTTTACTCACCTCTCTAAACTCAGGCCTATATATAGCCTGAGTATACTCAACACATACTATTGAATAAAGCCACAGTAATTACTAGTTTGCATTGCTCTTGAATGTTTGTCTCAAGAGCACTGAGTAGTATAACTCATCATGGTTCTCTTTTTGCATTGGCTGTTAGGAAGCTCAAAGCCATATCTGTGAACCCTTCCTAGCAAGACTGTAAATCAACATGCACATTTATTTTTTTATCTTATTCTCATCTGATGTCCCCACTTTTTTTTTAATCTTCTTTTGCTATATTTTAATTAATGCTCTCCTACTATATTATATATATCCTTGTATAACACTTTAATAAGTATCCCCACTGGAATTAAATAAGTTACATAGCCTGTCTTGAGTTTCTGGCCTGCAGAAAAAAAGATTTCCCTTTCCAATGTCATACTCTGTCTTCAGAGCAATAAGCCCCCCTTCGGCTCCTTGCTGTCCAGCACCCGGAGCCCCTTGGGAACGATGATTGCATGACTAGGGGTGGACGGTCCATAAGAAGCTATTTCCTTCCGACCAGGTGGTGAGGCGGTGGTGGAGGTGATCTGGAATGAATGAAGGCGAAAGGCAGACAGAACTGCAAAATCTCACGGAACGTGTTTTCCCTGCTCTGCCCGTGACCCGGGGGTACTGGGGAAGGGAACCGGCTACCCAGGTCGACCCGGCAGCCTCAGTGGGTGAGGGGCGCCGGCCAGGATGCTCGGGGTGCCAGGGAGACACTAATGCGAGAGAAATCAGGTGTTTGGTTTTTATTGGAGTCGTGAGGGCAGCCCCGACTCCAGGAAGAGAAGCTGTTTCTACAGGACGGTGCGGGGCCAGGGGCGGACTCCACCCAGGCTGGTGTTTGTCCTGCTCTGTGTGCTCAGCCAGCAGCTCCGGACAAGGAAGCGAAGGGCGGGGAGCCGGGCTCAGCTGGCAGCCTGGTACCGGGCAGCACCAGCTGGAGACACAGGATCCCAAGCAGGAGCAGCTCCAGGTGACACCAGGGGGCTGAGCATACTCCCACGGGGGCCCAGCAGGTGAGTGCTTTCAGATCCTTTAGGCCTGGTGCGTGGGTCTGTTTTTGTGGCAGGCAGTGAAATATAAAGGCCAGGGGTCAGGGAGGGTCGAGTGTGACCCCCACTCTGCGATCTGTTCACTGTGTGGCCTTTGCTGTATGTGAGCCTCAGTGTCACCATCTGTGAAATGGACCCAAAGATCGCTTACCTAAAAATTTTTAGTCTAACAAGGATTAAATGGCAATGTGGGCACTATCAGGCACGTAGCAACGTAAGTAGTTCCTACCTGCACAGAACCAGCAAGGGTGGCTTCAGGTGCAGGACTGGGGAGAATCAGTGGGTGGAGGGTACACCGCATGGTTTGGGAGCTTGTCAAGGCAAGAATCCCCTGTAGCCAGGGGAACTTGGGATCTGCACCTCGGGCATTGTCAGAGGAAGAGAGGGAGACAGAGAAAAGGACTTGTGAATCTTATTTAACACTCAAGCCTACCCTCTAAGGCAGGTACTGGATTCAAATTCCCAGCTGCAGCATGCTGGGAATTTGCAGCAAGGAAGAGCTATTGCGATTAGAGTGTGGGTGCCTGGAGCAAGACCGAAGCCAACCCCTCACCAGGCTGGCTGGGTTCCCTGCAGCAGATTCCTTCAGCCCTCTGTGACTCAGTTTCCTCACCTGTAAAATGGGCCTAATAGCAGAACTAAGACCAAAGGACTACAAGGACGAATGTGCAGGAACACCCGTGCACTTAGTAACTATCCGCTGTAGGTTTTGTTGCTGTGGTTACGATCATCTCCGTTTTGAGTTAGGAAAACGAGGCTGGGTGGAGGGGAGTAGGAGCTGGGTCCAGGGTCTTACAAAAAGGAAGTTGCAGGCCGGGCGTGGTGGCTCACACCCGAAATCCTAGCACTCTGGGAGGCTGAGGCGGGCAGATCCTTTGACCTCAGGAATTCAAGACCAGCCTGAGCAAGAGTGAGACGCCGTCTCTACCAAAAATAGAAAAAATTAGCTGGGCATGGTGGCGCATGCCTGTAGTCCCAGCTACTCGGGAGGCTGAGGCAGGAGGATTGCTTGAGCCCAGGAGTTTGAGGTTGCTGTGAGCTAAGCTGATGCTATGGCACTCTAGCTGGGGCAACAGAGTGAGACTCTGTCAAAAAAAAAAAAAAAAAAAAAAAAAAGGAAGTTTTAGAAGGGAAATTCAGCAGGGCCGGGAAGAGGGTAGAACCAGTGAAGCAGTCGCCTCGGATGCAAAATTCAAGGGACACCAAAAAACTCATCCACAATAAATGGTATTTTAAGACAATATTTAAAAATTAAAAATGAATGTCAAGACATCCATAATGAACAACGTATTAACACGTTAGGTAAAGATAGGACCAATGACAGCATTCTTTTTGATTTTCTAAAATGTTGTGTTGAAACACTCTTCATCTCCATGACTGTGTCTGGGCGACCCGTAGACTCTGTGCCTGGTCGGGGTCCTGCTCCAATCACGCCCCCGGGGTGTGTATACCAGGGGGTATATAACGAGCTTGCTCCCTAAATAGAAGACGAGAGAGGGGGCGTGCCTAAGCAGTTCTTAATTTTAGGGGGTGTAGGGGAACGAACCAAAGTCCCAAATCACGGAGGATCCCTTTCTTCCGAAGAGTTCTGGAACCTGGAAGAGTTTTCTTTTTAGGAGAGAGGCACACGCTTTGGGAAGGCCGTGGGCCTGGAGGAGCCCCTTGATCCTGGCTGGTCACGGCGACAAGAGACGCGCAGGGAGAGGGTTTCAAAGGCTTTGGAGAGGTCGACGCCGCTCCATGTGGGCTCAGCTGTCCTGCTCAAGGGTTAAATCATGTTGATTGTCGCCCTGTGGCAGCCTCTCTTACCTCGGCCAAGTGCTGTGCCGTGAAGCGGGCGAGGATTTGAGTGCCGAGTCCTGTGGCCCCGGGTTCAAACCCCAGCTCTGCCACTCCGCAGCTTTCTGCTACCCTCACACAGGCAGGATCAGCAAGGTTCGCAGTGGTGAGGTGAGGGGATTCCATCACTGGGCCTCAGGCTCTTTGTTTGTGCAATGGGGGAATAATGGGAAAGGAAAAAGGAGACGACATATGTGAGCTGCCCGGCAGTGGGGCCAGGAAGAGGGTGAAGCAGGTAGGTAGCTGCAGGGCAAGGCGTAGGCAGGAGCTCACTCTCTGGGGCCAATTCTGCACATGGCCAGCCCTGAGGGTGATGCCACCTTGTATTATGTGCTCTGCTGAGCTCATCGGGGCCCTGCCTGCCTCGCATTGAGCCTTCAATGAACGTAACCTGCTCTCATGGCTAGCTCAAAGATGTTCGGTGCAATACTAAGGATCCGATAGCGAGCCGCAAGCTTTCTAGGATCACCAAGCACTTATGCAAACACGATTGCTCTCTCCAATTGCAGTACATCAACTACCAAGCATTCCTAAGGCACTCAGGGAGATTTTGATAAAGGTTCCCCTTCCCCTGGACCCACAAAGTCCCATAGCAGGGCTCAGTGCTTGGGCGGTACAGTGAGGCTGGATTTCAGTCCCCTGTCCCCTCTTGTGCAGGGAGCCACCTGCATCACTGCACATGGTGGCCCTGACAAAATCCGCCGCATTGCCAGCCCTGTGCGTGGCACAGGGGCGAGCAGGACTGGGTGGCCAGGCGGAGCAAGTCTGTTCGCCTTCTCCATTTGAGCATCGATGCTGCCGCTGGGGTTGGGGGCACAGGCTGGTTCTGCCGGGTGTGCCAGCCTGGCCGTGTTGGCGTCACCCTAGGCTGGGCGCTAAGGAGGGGCCACGGTTTGCCTGCATTCCATTGCATTGATCGAAGGTGTTTCTTGTTTGCTTGGTGACTAATTCTGTCACCATTCCACCCTGCAAGGACCTCCCCCTTCCATTCTACAGCCATTTAGCCGCCTGCTGGTGATGAAGTTTCAGAAGCGCTCTTTCTCCACGGTGGGCAGTATCGAGTTTGGTGTTTGGCCCGTGCCCAGGGGGAGGGTTTATTGTTAATCTGCAACCACAATGAGGCACCTCGGCCGTCAATCACTAGTGTAAAAGAGGAAGGATCCGAGGCCAGCTTCCAGGTGGCCAATTCATGCATGGGCAGCATCAGAGAACTAATGGGAATATAACAAGAGAGACAAATAATATTAGTAATAGCTAACATTTACTTGCCTGACTTTTGCATACCCCTCGTGCTAAATCCTTACAATGGTCAGTGACCATTCCATTGTGCAGTCCTCACTTTAGACCTTATTTTTAGTTACAATTTTAATTTCTTATTGCAAACATGAATCTGCAATAAATACTTTATATTCTATGTTCTATTGTTATTACATATAAATATTTCATAAAATTATGGCATAATTTATATGGCAGAAGAAATGGTAGAAAGTAAGAAAGTGGAAAGTGAAGAGCCTGAACCCTGGAACCAGGCTTGCAAGGGTTAAGTGATTCTCCCACCCACTGGCAGATGAGCTGTAGTTGTCAGCTCAGGCTGCAATGACAAAAATACCGTAGACTGCCGTGGCTTAAGCAACAGACATTTATTGTCTCACAGTACTATAGGCTGGAAGTCCAAGATCAAGGTTCTGGCCGATCCATTTCCGGTGATGCCCTCTTCCCTTCCCGGCTGGCCAACAGCAGCCAACCCCGGCTGTGTCCTCACATGGTGGGGAGAGAGAGCTCTCTGGTGTCTCTTCTTCTAAGGACACGAATCCTATGGCATCAGGGCCCACCCTATGACTTCATTTAGCCTTCACTGATTTCTTAGCAGCCCTAGCTGCAAACACGTCACACAGAAGGGTACGGCTTCAACACGTAGCTCTTCAGGTGGACACGTTCCAGTTCTAACAGGCTTTTAGGTAAGGAACTTAAGCTCCTTGGGCTCAGGTTCTGCATTTGTAAAATGGGGACAGTAGAAATACCTGCCTCGTGGGATTCTGATGAGGATGTGACACATTAACACGGGGAAGCATTTAGAGCAATGCCTGGCCCGGTGCGGGCACTGTAGGAAATATTCGGTATTGGTATTGCCTAAGTGTGGCCCTTTGCCCTTACTGCAATAGCTAATCTCCACAAGTGCTGTCGCCCTGCAGGCAGAATCAGTTTATTTCTGCTGATACCGATGTCGGCCTATAGGTGGCAGTAACCTTTTGCTTTTGTCCCATATAAATCCTGCTCTAAAAAATTTGATCGACAGGCAGGAGCAATTTCACAACACATGTTATAACTGCTGGTGGAAAGTGACATTATCTGAATCCAGGTAATTGCTGCAAAAGACATGTCACTTGATTTTTCTTCTTTCATTCTCCTTGACCCTGAAGTTGCTGAGAGGCTACCTAAAGTGTGCAATGATCGGAATAATGTAGCCCCCAACTCTGCAGAATGAAAAAGCTCTTCTGCCTGCATATGTCACACGTCTTCCAGCTTCACCTATTTCATAGCCTCAAACATCCACTGAAAGCAGCACCCAATTAGTACTGAATTTAAATTCAATTCAATAAGAGCTTTAAAATTTTGTAAACTCATTGTTAAATAATAGTTTTTAAATTTGTTAATAGCTGAATTTAGATGAAGACATTGTGTGCATGCATATAGTCTTTTTTTTTTTTTTTTTTGAGACAAAGTCTCACTCTGTTGCCCAGGCTAGAGTGAGTGCCGAGGCATTAGCCTAGCTCACAGCAACCTCAAACTCCTGGGCTCAAGCAATCCTGCTGCCTCAGCCTCCCAAGTAGCTGGGACTACAGACATGCACCACCATGCCCGACTAATTTTTTCTATATATATTAGTTGGCCAATTAATTTCTTTCTATTTATAGTAGAGACGGGGTCTCGCTCTTGCTCAGGCTGGTTTCGAACTCCTGACCTCAAGCAATCCTCCCGCCTCTGCCTCCCAGAATGCTAGGATTACAGGCGTGAGCCACTGCGCCCGGCCCATGCATATATTCTTAAATGTGCAAGAATGTCGTGTAACCTTGGCCAACACGTTTAACCCGAGTGCCTCAGTTTCTGCATCAGCAAAATTGGAATAATAATACCAGTGCCTTGTTGATTTGCTGCAAGGAGTAAATTAGTTTTACTACAAATAAAGCTCCTAGAACAGTTTCTCAACACATGGTAAGCACTCACCAAATGTTGTCACTGTTCTCACTTTATCATTACTATGGTGGTTAGAGTTGTCATTATTTTTATACACGGTAGGTTCAAATCCTGGTAAACTTTCTGTAAAGGGCCAGATAGTACATATTTCAGGCTTTGCAGGCCATATGGTCTCTGTTGCAACCACTCAACTCTGCCTTTTAGAGCATGAAAGCAATCGTAGACAATATATAAATAAAAGGGCATGGCTGTCTTCCAATAAAACTTTATTTACGGATGCCGAGATTTGTCGTTCATATAATTTTCATGTGTCACAATCTATGATTCTTCTGGTTCTTTTTTCAACCGTTTACAAATGTGAAACTCATCCTTAGCTCACTGGCCTACTAAAACAGGCAGCAAGCTGGATTTAGCCACAGCTGTTGTTTGCTGACCCTGGTCTTGAGGATTCAATGTTATATTCATAATGTCCCATTTACAGAAAGAAGTGATGGTCTGTTGTAAGTGTGCATGTCGTGGATTTCATAAATAGAAAATGGTGCAAAAGAACAAGTGTCCTGTCTGTTTTAGCACTGCTCAGCTTTGTTACATAGTGTGGTTCGAAAACATGTAAAAGCCTCAAATTTGGTTATGTATCAAATTCCTGCAAGAGAGCAGGTGACAGGATCCATGACCCTTTTTTTTTTTTTTTTTTTTCGGCCTCCCTAATTTCCTATTCCTCAGTGCATCTATTACCAGGGAGTAGAAACTCATATAAGGGCAAGAAGCTCACAAAAAACCTTGGTGACACATTGGCTCCTTTCAGCCAGAAATCAAAAGTCTAATTTTCATTCTGGGAGCCACTGGAGCAGATGAGCCAGTGGCCAGGTCTATGGACATGGGCTACATTGGAATTGCAAAAAAAAAAAAAAGGAACTTTAGATAGCAAGACAGCAGGTCTTTGGAGTGGCTGAAATGATCCTCCTTCTGGAATCAGGCATGCTTGGATCAAGTCTCCATTTTCTGGATGTGTGGCCCCGGCTGAGTTTGGGAGGCTCAGTTCCCTCCTTTTTTAGGGGAGTTAATGACATGCAGACCATTATGGTGGTTAGGAGCGCAGGCACACTGTGTTTGAGTCTTGCCTCTACCCTTGTTAACTGGTGATCTCTGGAAAGTAAGTTAACCTCCTTGGGCTTCGGCTTCCTCACATCGAGAATGAAATCATAACACCTGTTTCACAGGGCTGCTGCAGGACCCTTTGCCCCTGTGTAAGATGGTACCAGTAAAGCACTTGGAAAACAGAGCTTGGAATTGAGCACGTGCTAACTAATTATTTACTGTTGTCATTATCATTATAACAAGACTCTTGAGAGGTTTGTTGATGATGTAATCATGTGCCTAGGTCAGTGCCTAACCAGTGAGCAGTAGTTATCAATGGTTATTCCCTCCATTCAACTAATAAATAATAATCGAGCTCCTGATCAATGCAAACACACTATTAAGAACAGGAGTTACAAAGTTGGGTAAAAGCAGATACTGCCTTGACCTCATGGTACTTTACAATTTATTGGGGAAGAAAGACAAACTCTGCTTTCCAACTCTGGGATGATGATGATGTTAATGGTCATTCCAGAACCATCATACCCAGCATGGCCACCCCCTGCCTTCTCCCATACTGCTCCCACATCGTGTTGTGCTATTAATTTGCTTTTATTCAGAGCATAGAACCCTATGTGTTTTTGTTTAATAAGCACATACATTTTGCCTATCGTGAACTAGATGTTGTTTTAACCATTTTCTACCATTAACCCATTGAGTCCTTGTACCGGTCTTATGAGGAACAGAGAGGCTAATTAACTCCCCCAAGGACACACAGCTGTGAGGGGCAGAGAGTGGACGCAAGCCCAGGCAATCTTGCTCTAGACGCTGTGCCCATAACCACTGTGCCATGCTGCCTTGAACTATTGAAAATGGCCTAGTCGATGGATTTATTGTCCATTTGTTTCTTGTTTGTCTGCTTACCAGGTTTCAGCCCAGGAGGTCAGAGGGCCTCATCTGTTTAATTCACAACTGTGATCCTGGTGCCTGGCACAGCAGTAGGTACAGGGTTGTGCTTAACATATACAGTTATGAGTAGCAAAAGGACGGTCAACAACGGGCTGCATACAAACAGCCGTCCTGTAAGATTGTAATACTGTATTTTTACTGTACCTTTTCTATGTTTAGATACACAAATACTTAGCATGGTGTTACAACTGCCTATGGTATTCAGTGTAGTCACACGCTGTAGCATTCAGCCTTGGTGTACAGGAAGCTACGCCACCTAGGTTTGTGTTAGTGCACTACGATGTTTGCACAATGGCGAAATTCACCCAAGAATACATTTCTCAGAACGTATCCCCATCACTAAGTGACACATGACCGTATTTGTTTAATCAATGAATGAATGAAAATATACCCAATAAGTATATAATATGAGCAGTGCTAAGTGCCATGAGAGGTTTTAACAGGGGGATTAATTTAGTTTGAGGATCAGGGAAAGCTAAAAATTGTAAGTATTATCTCAATGACCCTCATTCTAAAGTCTCCTTAATATGATAGTTGTGACTCTAGGAGAAAAAATATTATCTGCACCAAATGTACTTTTAAGGACGATAAATATTTTACCCCAGCAATGAAACGCAATTGAAAATTGTGGCTGCATTTGACTTTAATTCTGTTGAACATATGAATCCAAAATCTCCTCTCCATTGCCCAAAACAAATATAAGCAATTTGTTCTAGCTTTAGCTTGTGATAACACACCCACAAGTAACTTGCCAGGTCTCTGCACCTTAGCTTGCCACGTAAGGCTTTGGTTTGGTTTTGGTTTCCATTTGTTTCTCTCTTCCTTAATCTTTTCTTTCTCTGTTGCAGGAAAATGGGTAACCAAATGAGTGTTCCGCAGAGAGTAGAAGACCAAGAGACTGAATCGGAAACAGAGACTTACAAGGTAGCACAGTAGCAGTCACAGGGACATTGGCTACTACTGCGGTCCCCATCCCCTGGGCTGCGGTCCGGTTCTGGTCCATGATCTGTTAAGGGACCAGGTCACGAAGCTCTGCTGTCTCCCTCCCCCCCGGCCCACCCTCCGGTCCATGCAAAAATTATCTTCCATGAAACTGGTCCCTGGTGCCCCAAACAATTGGAGACCCCTGGGCTACTCATAGGTGGCATTACAGAAGACAGAATAAGCTGCCTGCTCAGTGCCCTCCGTGTAGAGATAACTGATGATGGGCTCAAACCTCTAGAATCCATCAAGGAGACTGATAAAATGCAGGTGCTGAGCCCCAGGGCTAAGACTGGCTGGATCCAGAATTGGAAAAGGTGGGAGCCTGTAGAACCGCTGGCTTTAAGAAATGGCTTTACTATGAAGCCATTTGGTACCTGCCCCCAAGTATGTTTAGACCCGCAGTTCTCAACTGTGAGTTATCACCCCCCCATACCCATACCCCCACGGGGGACTCTTGGCAACGTTTGAGATATTTTTGATTGTCACAACTCAGGGAGGGGTGCTCATAGCTAGCATCTAGTGCCTGGAGGCCAGGGATGCTGCTAGACACGCTACAAAGCCCAGGGCAGCCCCCCACACCAAAGAATGATCTGGCCCCAAACGCCCATAGTGCTGAGAACCAGAAACCCAGGTTCAGATCAGGGGTTCGCAGTCTTAGCTGCACATTAGAATTACTTGGGAAACTTTTAAAACTTTTGATACCCAAGTTGCATACTAGACTAATGAAATCAGAAACGGTGTGTGGGAATGAGGGCAGGCGTCAGTATTTTTAAAGCTCCTCAGCTGTTGGGATGCGTGAAGAACTACTCGTTTCGGAACCGTCTTTTAGAACGTTGCTCTCAAGAGCTGAGACCAAGGAGACTAAATGGTTCCCCGTAGATCTTCTCGCACCAGAGAGCAGAAAGCCTAAATTTCCACCATCAGTGCATCTTACATCGACTCAGTTTAAGACTTGGAGCCTTGCTAAACATGGAACCCCTCTAGGAGGAAAATAATACCTATGAACTAGTATTGATTACATTGCAGAGGGAATCCCAGCTCAGGATAGGCTGGATTTTAGGAAACGGCCTGAAAACTTAACCCTTTGCACTCGGATGTCAAGTGTGGATAATGTCGAGTGGATAAGGAGAAAAAAGCAAGCGAGTGCAAATGGTTAAATGCCTACCAAGTGGGCCTCAAACCTGAATGCAAATTAGAATTGCGTGGATGGCTTTTAAAACACCTGATGTCTTGCCTCATCTGAGACCAATTAAAATGATAATCACTGGGAGTGGGCCCAGGCGTCAGTAGTTTCTCAAGCTCCCCAGATGGTTCCAAGTCCAGCTAAGTCTGGGAATTTCATGCCTCTAGGAGCCGCAGGGTGGGATCCATGGAGAGCTGGGGTCCCACCGCCCAGCTGAAGGCTGCCGCTCCAGCCAATATAGGAGGACTAGCGTTTCCAGATGCTGATTTTTCATTAGGAGTTAGAAAGCATTGTTCATTAAATCTCTTGATTTGCAATGATTGGTAACTGATTCTAAAATACTTAAATCACTCTGTTGGCCAAATAAATCAAATGTGCACACCAAGTATGGACCTGGGGATGCCAAGCTGTAATATCTAGGCTAAATGTTTTGATGTTTGGATTTTATGATTTCTTGGTAGAGTTAATGATCAAGTCAAGAACACAGATTTATTTTAAACAATTCAAACCATTACAAAAATACAAAGAAAAGAAGTCTTCCGTATTCCCCACGAGGTTCCCACTTTACGAGTTGGTATTTAGTCCTATAGTTTTAATTTTCTCTTTTCACTTGTTAACATATATTATTATGCTTAATAGTATTAGCAAAATAAGATACTATATGCAAAGTACTTAGCCTATAATCGAGATTTAATTAATGTTAATTATCACTGGTATAATTTAGATGATTTTACTGCTAAAATGATAGTATAGAACATATTCTCTTTTGCAAACTATTTTTCTTTCCATGGGAGTGTGTGTATATGTAATCTTTTCTAAATGTCTGTAACAAGTAACAGAAGGGGGAAAATATCAGGGCAGTGGGCTAAAATTAGAAAGAGGTCGTAGCAGTGAAGACGCAGGGTTGGGTGTGGAGCAGAAAAACCAACAATGGACTTCCTGTATTCCACACGTTTGTTGACTCAAGGCCTGGCTGGCGATGGTGTCTGTGTGTGTGAGAGAGCAGGGTGAGGTTAGCCTCACAGCTTTCAGAATCCACATGTCAAACTCTTGCCCCACCCCTGACTCCCTACCTGCCACTGGGCGTGGGGCTCTCTGAGCTGAGGCGCAGTGGAGTGCTCCTGCGACACCAGGAATCCAGTCCCTGGAGGGGGTTCTTCTGTTTCTCTGAGGCGTAGAAGGAAGTTTCTAGAAACTTCCTAAGCTGTGTAGTTTCTAGAAACGTAGCCTTTAAATTAAGTTTAATTTTTGTGAGTCACCCTGGCAGCCTTGACTTTCTTCCCTGAGTTCTTCTAATGTCCCCCAAAGGCTTGACTGACAAAGCCACCTGCTCTGTTCCAGGTGTCACCGGACAGTGAGCGTGCTCCAAATGGGGTCCCGGTGGTGGTGTCCACCTACACGGTTCAGCACTTCGACGAAGGTCAGTGCCCCGCCGGGGGCTGGGGGAGGGGGCTGCCTGGAGAAAAGTGACGCGATGGGGAGGTGCGTTGGGAGGAGATGACACGTCTTAACCGCTTTGTCAAACTCTTCCGTGGCTCCTGCCCAGGAGAGGGAGACCCCAGGAGTCGGTGACCTCCCAGCGACATGTTGATACGGGAATTTATTTCGTCTGTTGAATCAGACAGTCTTCAGGGTGGACGACGCCTCACAGAGGGGCACGTCCCCCTCCTGCCGGATGCAGGGATCACGTGTGTTCCGTTCACAGGCAAACGTCGGCGAGTTGTGGAGGGGAAACTCAATCTCAGATGGCTCAGAGACCAGGCAGTTGGAAAGAACAGAACATTCAGTCCCACACACCACCTCCAGGCCAGACCAGATCAATCATCCTAGAGAAAGAACACGCTATTCCATCCATTCAGGAAGACTTTGCCACGGAGGAGCCACAGCCCCTCCTAATATTCAGCCATCCCTTTCCAACCTGCAAGGCGGGGAATGACAGCCGCTGCTTACGTTTCCCACCCAAAAGCTAAAAAGAGAAGACGGAGGCTAAGCTTAGAGATTCTGGGAAGTAAATATCTGGAAAGCATTTTAACCACCTCAGGAGTAGAGCTGTGTTCTAGTTTGTTTTTTGAAAAAGGCCCACGTGCATCGCCCCTAAGGAGATATAAGGTCGGTATTAGCATAAAACCAAGCTCTCCGAGAGCATAGATAATGCTGCTAGGATTTCATTAACATTTTGTTCTTCAATAACAAAAACATGGTTTAAAAAGGCACATCTGCTGTCCAGGGATACCTTGGACTCACCTTCTCACTCAAGAAGAGCTCAACTGAGATGCATGGGGGAGCGGGGACACTAGGAGAGGCAGCCAGGGGTCCTCAAACTTTTTAAACAGGGGTCAAGTTCACTGTCCCTCAGACCGTTGGAGAGTACGCACTGTGGGTCCAGGATGAGTCGGCTGCTAAGCAGGACAGGCAGTGGCAGTAAAAACACCCGGAGGGCGGGATAAATGTGCTAGGTGGCCCACATATGGCCCCCGGGCCATAGTTTGAGGACACCTGGAGACGGTGGGGCAAAGAAGGCAGGTGGCCACCTGTTGGCCTCACAGGTGGCTTCTAGGACTAAATGAGGTGGTGCATTAAGAGCTAAGAGAATCCCATTTATAAAATTGCATTATAATAGCACAGACAGCCTGCATATCTGTATATATACTATAACTGTGCTTTATACATAAAAAGAATCCCCCTGAACTAATTTTTGCCCCCTTGGGGTTAATATCATCACCACTGAGAGTGAATGCACTAGAAAATGCAACTTATTTATGCCATTAATTTATTTACAAGGCCACAGAGCACAATAGCTAAAAGCCGGCAGCACACACGATAATGCCCCTCCTTCCCTCATGTCCCCACGTCCTAGTCTCCAGAACCTGTGACTAACTACTCTGCGACCTTGCATGACATAAGGACTTTTCAGATGCCACTAAGGATCTTGAGATGGGGAGATGATCCTGGGTTTTCCAGGTGGAAGCAGGTGGTCTTTCTAAGAGGGAGGCAGGAAGGTCAGGGTGGGAAAAGAAGGTGTGACAATGGGAGCAGATGTCACAGAGAGAGACTTAAAGATGCCACCCTGCTGGCCTTGAATGGGTGGAGGCCACCAGCCGAGGAGTGCAGGTGCCTCCAGATATTGGAACAGGCGAGAAAACAGATTCTCCCCTAGAGCTTCCAGGAGCTGACCCATTTTTGACTTACAACCTTCAGAACTATAAGATAATATATTTGTGTTGTTTGGGGCATTTGTGGTAATTTGTTGCAGCAACAATAGGAAACTAATACATGCACACTCAAGCGCTGGAGCCCAACAGACCTGGGCATAGGTCCTGGTTTTGCCACTCACTAGCTGTGTAACCGTGGCGGAGAACTCGTATTCTCAGCCTCACCTGTAAAACTGGAAAAATAATATGAAGCTTGTCGGGAGTTTTGAAAACAACAGCTGGTGCAGAGTAAATGGGATCAACGGGGTCGGGACAAAACCGTAAGCAGAGGCTGTTGTCACGCTCACCCTCTATCATCGGCCTCCCTGACCTGGCGCCCGGCCAGATTTTCCCACCCATATACTGATGCCTAAAGCATCACAGATTTTGGGAGAAATGCCTAATCTTCCCCTTGCTTTAATTTCTTTCTAGCAAATTTATTACATTAGTTCCTCTATAAAAAAAAAAGAATTGCTCTGTCCTTACTGCTCAGGGATGGCAGAGACAAAAGCACGCTATACCTGCCAGGATGCATCACTTTTCAGAAACAGAAGGATATCTCTGTTTCACCTGGATAAGAAGTTTCTAAAATTAATATCTTCCTTTTTGTTCCTAGTCAGTTGTTCCAAAAAAGAAGAATTGCCTAATTTTGCTTTTTTTTAAATATATATATAAGTGGAATCATTTTATTAGATTGAAAATTCTAACTTGAGCAAAGTGCTCCTGCCAATAACAACATAAGTGAGAACAGAAGCACTTGCCATTGTTGGTGCTTGGGCAAAGTGGAATGGGAGCCCCAAGGCCAAAAGTCGTAGCTTCCTGATATAGTGAAAAATATGGGCAGCGTCACTGGTCTGAAAGGGAGCAAATATATCTGTTCTCTTAACGTCCACTATTTTCCCCCAGTTGGTCTGTTTTAAAAAAAAAAAAAAAAAAAAATCTGTGTCTATAACTCAAGCAAAAGTTCCTGAGAGCTGAGAGCCTGTCCCTTGTGGTTGCAATAATCCCAGAGATTAGCACAGGGGCCGAGATACACTTAGGGCTTGGAAATTATTGACGAACGACTGATGGCGCATTAAGCCAGTGGCAGCAGAGGAGCAAGGCTGAAGGGCAAGTTCCTGGGTCCCAGTGTGCTCAGCAGTGAAGACTACAGTGCTGACGAGGTAAATATCACTTTTAATTAGAGTAAGAAGTCCCAGGTTTGGGGCAGCAGCCTGACAGCGTCATCAAGACCCCAAGTAAGTGAGCCAGTTATGTCACCCCTGCTCACAAGATGGCTGTCACAGAACCAAACGTCATGTCCATGCATGATGGGATCCAAAAGCAGGAAGAGAAAGGCCAAGATTTGTCACCATTTTTTCTCCTTTTGTTAGGAAAGAAAGGAAGAGCTTTCCCAGAAGCCCCTGCCCTCCAGTGGGCATTCTCTTACATCTCACTGGCCAGAACTAGGTCACATGATCACCACTAGTTGCATGGGATGCTGGGAAATCAAGCATCCTTCTGAGGAGCAAAGGGAAAAAAAATACAGTTTGGGGGGCTAGAGTGGATTGGCTATAGGGCCAGCAACCAATAGTGTCTACCAGAGGTGATCTCAAAGAATTATTACAATTGAGCAATAAAAAGTAGCTCATATCATTACACAGGCCTTTCAAAAGACATTAAAAGGATTTAGCTCATTTCCTAAAGACCACTTTTCTTTCTCCTCCCATTATCTTGCATATGTATCTCATTGAATAAGCTCTTTATTCTCAATGCTTCTCCATGAAACCCTGCTGGACACCCCATCCTCACAGGCACTCCCCTTCCTCCTTCCCCTACCTAGCATCGGATCATCCCCCAGCCTAAAGTATTAATAGCAACAGAGAATTCTGACAACTGGCTCTCCCCGATGGCCAGACACCACGTCACCCCTCTGGTCTTCTTTGGGAATGAGCAAGAGCCCCAGGGAAGTCTCATCCTTCTCAAACTCAGGCCAGTGAGTAAGGAAGCCATCATGGGCATTCCAGACGTAACAGATGCCGTATAGAGAAGGACCAGGTAAACCAGCCACAGCCAAAACTAAGGCTCCAGGCATGTGTCCCTAAGTGAGCCATCTTAACCATCTTCATCCTTCCTAAGCTTCCCAGCTGTGGCTTCAGACATCTTGGAGCAGATATAAGCTATTCCCATTGTCCCTGCCTGAATTCATTAAGAATCTTGAGCATAATAAAAGGGTGAGGTTTTTTGGGTTTTTTTCTGGGGACGGAGTCTTGCTCTGTTACCTGGATTAAAGTGCCGTGGCATCAGCCTAGCTCACAGCAACCTCAATCTCCTGGGCTCAAGCAATCCTCCTCCCTTAGCCTCCCGAGTAGCTGGGACCACAGGAGCGTGCCATTGCACCCAGTTAATTCTTACTAATTTTGGTAGAGATGGGATCTCACTCCTACTCAGACAGGTCTCAAACTCCTGACCTTAAGCAATCCTCCTGCCCCAGCCTCCCAGAGTGCTAGGATTACAGGCATGAGCCACCGCACCCAACCCAGTGGTTGTTTTAAGTTGCTCATTTGGGGCATGCTTGTTACGCAGCCATAGATAAGTAGAATAACTATTAGTGTGCATTTTAATTCTTTCCATTTTATTTTTACATGCATATATGCTTATATAAAGACTAATTTTCATAATGAATAAGTGCAATCATATTTTCTGTTATTATTGTTTTGGTGAAGACCTTCTTTCCCTTTTTTTCTGGGCTCCTCCCTCATCTTACATCTGCCCCCACCCCAAGGACACCCAAGCAAACAACTCAATATTTCTTCTTCCATATTTTTCTCTTTGCTCTATGCTCTATAAAAGAAAAATCTGAGGCACAACAAAAATTTAAAGAGTTTATTTAAGTCAGAAGCAATTCATGAATTGGGGAACACCAGTCTGAAAGAGGTTTAGTGTTTCAGTGACAAAACATCAGAGGCAAGTAAGTATTCATGGGGAAAATGCAGAAGCACAATATAAAAATTATTCAATTGGTTACAGTCACATAGTTGCCTTATTTAGTCTGTCTTTTTGGAAAGTCCCTGGTTATATAACTTTAAATTTGTGGGCTGTTTCTGATTGGCTGAGATTAAGTTCTGTTTTTCTTTAATGTAGGCATTTACAAGAAATAGCTCAGGTTATGTTTCCCTTATGTTTGCAAAGCAAGCAAGGTTTAGGTCATTTATGTGGCCTAACTGGTTTTGTCTGTTCTAGGATTCTT